ATTTTTGCTTTAGCAGATGTGAAAATGGAATTAAAACAACCAATGTGGTTTAAATGTGGAATTAAACATTTTAAAATGTGGGTTAAAGCTAGGTTTAGAATTAGGGGTAGGGCTTGGTTTATGGCAATGTTTAGGGGTAGTGCTAGGTTTAGGATTAAGCTTAGGACTAGAGCTAGGGTTAGTTCATTGGTTAAGGCTAAGGCTAGGCTTTGGTTTAGGTTTAGTGTTGTAGTTAGGACTAGAGATAGTGCTAGGTCTAGGGTTAGGTTTAAAGTTAAGGCTAGACGTAGCACTAGCATTAGGTTTAGGTTTATGGCTAAGGATATGGGTAGGTTTAGGTCTAGGTTTAGGATTAGATTTACAGTTAGGAATATGGCTATCATTATGGTTTGGCTAGTGTTAGGGTTAGAGCTAGAACTAGGATTAGGATTAGGTTTTAGGCTTAGAGCTAGGACTAAGTTTAGGGTTGGGTTATAGCTAGGGTTAAAATTAGAGTTAAGGCTTGGGCTATGACTATGGTTAGGTTTACAGTTAGTTTTAGAACTAGGTCTAGAGCTATATTTAGTTTTAGGATGGGGGCTAGGGTTAGGGGTAAGTTTATTGCTAGGGATAGGTTTAAATCTGGGGCTTTGGCTAAGTTTAGGTTTATCCTTTAGGTTAGGGTTAGGTTTAGGGCTAGGGCTATGACTAGGTTAGGGTTAAAGTTAGGATTAAAGGTTAGGGTTAAAATTAGGGTTAGGTTAATGTTACAGTTAGGTTTAGAGTGAGGGCTAATGTTGATGTTAGGTTTAGAGCTACCTACAACACAGAGGCGCAGCCAAAATGACAAGTCATAAAACATGTCCAAAATAAAAGAACAGGATAAAACTCCCAAAAAATAACTAAACAAAATGGAGGCAGACAGTTCAAAACACTGTTTATAGGATGCTCAAGAAATGTAGTGAAAATTTCAACAAAGATATAGTAAGCGTAAACAGTACATGGAAACTATGTTTAAAAGCCAGTAAGAAATTAAGAATATAATAACTGAAATAAAGAATATATTAGATTAAATCAACAACAGATTAGATGTAGCAGAGGATTGAACCCACTATTTGGAAGACAAGGTAGAAGAAAATTCTCAATCAGAACAGCAAAAAGAAAAAGAAATGAGCCCAGCCAGTGTGGCTCAGTAGTTGAGTGTCAACCTATAAACCAGGAGGTCAGGGTAGAATTCCCAGTCAGGGCACAAGCCCAAGTTATGGGCTTGATTCCACCACAGGGCATGCAGGAGACAGCCAATCAATGATTCTCATCATTGATGCTTTTATGTCTCTCTCCCTCTCCTTTGCCCTCTGAAATCAATAAAAATATATCTTAAAAAAAGAAAATGGAAAAGTAATGAAAATAGGTTAAAGGGCCTCTAGTATAACATCAAGTGCAACACCATTTGCATCATAGAGGTTCCAGAAGAAGAGAGCAAAATATTGAGAACCTATTTGAGCAAATAATGACTAAAAGCTTCTCTAAGCTTCTCTAACCTGTTGAAGAAAATAGAACTACAAATCCAGCAAACACAGAGTCCCAGGTTCCATTCCGGTCAAGGGCACATGCCTGAGTTGCGGGCTTGGTCCCCCCACCCCCAGTAGGGGCGTAGTGCAGGAGGCAGCCAATCGATGATTCTCTCTCATCATTGATGCTTCTATCTCTCTCTCGCTCTCTCCCTTCCTCTCTGAAATCAATAAAAATACAATCAAAAACAAAAAACACGAGATGGACTTCCTCTCTGAAATCAATAAAAATACAATCAAAAACACGAGATGGGCACTGTGTTAGGAACTGTGTCTGGCTGTGTCTCAGGGCCACGACTCAGCATGTGCCCCCTAAGAGTGCCCACCACTTCACAAATGCCCTTTCTATAGCGTGTCCTGTTTCTGACCAGGCACTTATTATCTTAGACTACATGGGATTGACAATTGCTAGATGCTCACCCGCTGCCTGTTACTGGGCACAGTGGAAGGCTATGTTTCCTGGCCTCCCCTGCAGTTAGGGTGGCGCCAGTGACTGGGGTTTGAAACAATGATTTCTTCTGAAAGTCATCTATACATTTCTAGGCCTGGCCGTGAGCATCTGCACATTCCTCTTTGCTGTCCCTGCTTACCCAGGGACAGAAGAAGGCAGGAGGCCAGCAGAGGATTGGCTCTGAGCAGAACCAAGAAAACAGGCTCAGCAGGAGCCAGGAGTCCTATGGAAGGCCTCCTGGTGAACAGCTGAACATACCACGGTATGAGGAAGGAGCAAACCTCATTTGGGGTAAGCAAGGTGTGGTGGTTGTCATATCAGCTAGTAAAAATTACCTCGGCAAATTCTCCATGTGGAGTTGGATTTTGAAAATATTCATGAAGGAGATGATTATGAGGATGATGTCATGGTGACTGCTTGGATAGGTTGGTGTCCATGACAGAGCTGGCATTTTGCTTAGAATGGGGTAAGGTCCACGGTTGTTTGGTGCTAGTGGTGACAGCAGAAATGGGGGGATGGCAGTGGGGAACAGTGTCGACTCATGGGGCTAATGTCTGTGGCTGTGATGGAGAGAACGGAGAGGAGGCAGATGTGATGCTGGTGTGCGGGCCGTGATGGGTACTAAGGGTGGCGTTAATGCGACATCCCAAGTGTGACTCCGTACGGGGTTGGCCCGCAGGGAGGGGAGGCTGTGTGAGTGGTCACGGAGAGCTGGCTCTGTGGCTGACTGTGGTCCTAAAGGGGACAGTGTGGGGGGAGACATTGATGATGGGGTTGGTGGCTGTGAGGTGGGTGGTTCTGTGGTGGAAGCCTTGCTGGCCTGACATAGAGAACGTGGGGATGATGGAAATGGTAAATATGCATCCCCAGTGGGCGGTTTTCCTAGGGCTCTTGTGTCCATTCTCTATTCACCTGGGAAATTCCTGCTTGGCCACTGAAGTTCCCTTCACTCCTTCCACCCTCAGGGGAATCATCACCTGCATTGGTGATGCTGGGCTTCCCAGGCTCCTAACAGGTTCTCACTGGACCAAGCCACTCAGTCAACAGGATCAAGGCCTATATAATAATCATTGCACCAGACCTGTGGCTGCACACGTTGGCCCCAGGAAGGAGAAGCGGCAGAATTTATGGACATCCCATGTGGGGACTTGGATGCAGAAGAGCCTTAGTTCCAGGGGGCCCAGGAAGTTTCTAAGGGAGCGCTTTTCAGATGTGGAAGGGGACCTGTCTGGGATCATGTCTATGAAGTGACTGCTGGGGCCCCTGGAGCTGTGTTCTCCATACATTGCAGGGAGAACAGTATCTTCCCCTCAGGGTGTTTACAGGGTGCACTGTGAGGGGCTTCACAGAGGGCCTTCACATACAATGTGCCTAATAAGTAGATGCCATCTTTGTTAAATATATTTTATTGATTTTTTACAGAGAGGAAGGGAGAGGGATAGAGAGTTAGAAACATCGATGAGAGAGAAACATCAATCAGCTGCCTCCTGCAAACTCCCTACTGGGTATGTGCCCGCAACCAAGGTACATGCCCTTGACCGGAATCAAACCTGGGACCCTTGAGTCCGCAGGCCGATGCTCTATCCATGGGGCCAAACCGGTCAGGGCAAGTAGATGCCATCTTTTACCATTATTGTCATTAGGCAGCAGTGGTTCAGCCGATGCCTAATGCAGACGAATTACAGACTCTCAGCTGTGGACTTCGTCGAGTTGATAATCCTATATAAAAGGGTAATATGCAAATTGTCTCCTCAGGAGATTGACCCACCGGGAGTTCAACCACTTGCTATGATATGCACTGACCACCAGGGGATGGCGTGGAATGAAGGAAGGCCCCAGCCAGCGGCCAGGGGAAGGAAGGCCCTGATTGGCCTTGATGGCTGGCCAGGCCTAGGGACCCTACCCGTGCACAAATTTTGTGCACTGGGCCTCTAGTATGTGTTATATTTGCCCTATTGATAGAATAATTAAATTTTTCATTTAGTTGCCAAGAGTTGACAAATTCAGAGATTTCACATAAAAATCTAGATTTCCAGTCTCTCTAGAACAGCGGTTCTCAACCTGTGGGTCGCGACCCCTTTGGCGGTCGAACGACCTTTTCACAGGGGTCGCCTAAGACCATCCTGCATATCAGATATTTACATTACGATTCATAACAGTAGCAGCATTACAGTTATGAAGTAGCAACGAAAATAATTTTATGGTTGGGTCACAACCTGAGGAACTGTATTTAAAGGGCCAGAAGGTTGAGGACCACTGCTCTAGAAGAATGGAATACAGGGCACCTAGGTCCACATCTCCACACGGCAGCATTTGGCTGGACCTCTTTGGATGGAACATGGACTCTCTGATTTGCCACAGTCTCCACAACTCCCTACTGTCCATCCCTCATCCTCAGTTTGGGGGTCCTGTTCCAGCCTCACCTCTGTGGACTGGTGCCTTTCAGTGGCACACTATGCTCACTTAGCTTTCCTAGTGGCACCTTCTGAGCCATGGGACACCCCATGGAACTCCTAGAGGGAGGGACCTTGGTGTAATTAGATTTGATTTGGGTTGGCCAGTAACAGACCTAAACGTTAGCTTGTACAGCGGAGAAAAGTTTAATTTCACTGCTCGGCACCAGAATTCCTCTGAGGGAAAGAAGCATCTTGTTTGAAGAATCTGTTGAATGGGGTAGAAGTGAGACCCCAGAGTTTGCAGGGGTCTGATGTCAGCATTTGAAGGGGAATTTTTTTTCCATGAGAAATGGAGTAATCTGATGTTTTGTTTCTGAAGAGGGGGGGAGAGGGGAAATAAAGGAGAGAGAAACTAGTGCGGGAGATGGGGCCAGGTGAGCCCAGATGGCCTCAGGGCCAGAGCGCCAAGGCCATTTGGGAATGGTGAAGTGCCTTTCAGTGTATGTCTGTGGCAGAGATGACCAGGCCCTCGTCAGTACTTCCTGTCTGTTCACTGCTGTGTTGTGAGATAAAGCTGTTTTTGGTTTTTGGTTTATTTTTGGAATTTGATGTGCAATTGGCCTGGGCTGCCTAGGATGGTCCATGTGGGAAGCTGGTACTACTAGAGAAGGGAGGGTGTGAGAACTGGTGTCCTGGGACCTGCAGGCACTGGGGAAAGGCTCTGGATGTCCAAATTGTGGAATTGCAGGTGGCTGGTTGGAAGGAAGTGGGACAGCCCATTCTACTAGGAACTTGGGGGACAGAAAAGTACCAATTGATATCTGGTAATAAAAAAAATGAACCCAGGTTTCCAGAAGGTACTGAGAGGGAAAAATAAAATATCTGAGTTTGGATTAAAATAGCTGAGCAGCCAGTTTATTTCAAGTTACTGGTGGAACTGGCTGATCAGGGCTGGTGGAGAAGGAAGTGGGACAGCCCATTCTACTAGGAACTTGGGGGACAGAAAAGTACCAATTGATATCTGGTAATAAAAAAAATGAACCCAGGTTTCCAGAAGGTACTGAGAGGGAAAAATAAAATATCTGAGTTTGGATTAAAATAGCTGAGCAGCCAGTTTATTTCAAGTTACTGGTGTAACTGGCTGATCAGGGCTGGTGGAGTCTGGACAGGGGCTCAGGCCTGGCCGCTTGGCCTGAAGAACGACCCTAGGAGCAGGGGCTCTCTGGCAGTACACAGTAGACCTGCCAAGAGAGCCAAGCCCATTATGACCACAACAACCAGTGCCACATCCCACCAGACCCATGGATAGGCCCAAGGTTTCTGTAGCTGCCAGCCGCAGTTGCCCAGCTCATAGCCTGTGAGCTGGCCCAGTGGGTGGAGGGCGGCATAGCTGGGGCTGGCACAGCGGACGTCCAGCAGGGCCTCTGGTGTGTGGTCCTCCAGCCAGAGGTGCAGGTAGGTGAGGCTGCAGTCACAGTGCCAGGGGTTCTGTGTCATGTCGAGTGTCTGCAGCTGGACCATGTGGTCGAAGGCGCCGGGAGGCACAGAACGCAGGCTATTGTTGGCCAGCAGGAGGTGGCGGGTGCGGGCTGGCAGGGCAGGCATGGATGTGAGCCCTCGGCCCCTGCAGTCCACCCACAGCCCCATGGTTTCCAGGGCCTGGCAGGTGCATGGTGCAGGGCAGTCCTTGGTGGCTTCTGCGGCAGCCCAGAGCAGGAACAGGGACCCCCAGGCAGGCATTGTGCAGGCTGGCTGTGGGGAGAGCGGCTGTGAGGTGAGGGAGGGTCGGGTAGCCTGCACCCCATCCCAAAAACCAGCGGGTCCCATAGGAACAATGGTATCTGACCTGTGAAATTGCAGCTGTGAAGACGGAAGGAACTGAACTGTGCCCAACTTAGGCCTGGCTGACCCTCACTGAACACTCGGAAGGCAAGACAGTAGGGGAGGGAGCAGGGGTGACTTCGGAAGAGGACAGGACTTCAGGAGGTAGGGGAGCAGGTCCCTGCTCCGTGGTTTACAGTCCTGGTCCTCCACCCCCATAGGGCTGGGAAAGGCTGCTCCCAGCCTCCCTGCTTAAGCCTGGGGTTAGGCCAAAGGTGTGGCCTTCATAGACCACACCTCACCCCACCAATTCCAAACAGCTCGCCATGATGAAGTGAACCCTTAACCAGCACAAGGATACTGAGGTGGGGGCGGGAAGGGAACCCAGAAAGAACTCCTTCTGCAAGCCCCTCATCCAGGCTTGGGGAAACTGAGGCCCAGAGACAAGAGAGATTTGTGCAGGGTCACACAGTAGCCTGTGTCAGAAACCAGACTCCAACTCAGGTCTCATGAGCCCCAGTTTTCTGCCTGATTCACTGCCTTGCCTCCACAAGTGTTTCCCCCCCTTTCGAAGGCAAGCTCTTTCTAACCCCCAGGGCCTGGCACATGGCAGACTTCCAATGACTATTCGTTGAACAAACCAGTGAATCTTGACTTAGCCAAGGAGCAGGTGTCTCAGAGTGAATGCCCCTACCCAACCCCATCTTCTAGAAGGGAGAGCAAAAGTGGGCATAGAAGTAAGAATTGACAGCCCGCCTCCTCACCACCTGGGAGGAACCCCTGGTGTGGGAGGCAGTGCTGGGTAATAAGGGGGGCTTCTTACCTTCCAGGCCTGCAGTCCAGTTCCCCTTTCTGTGACCTGAACTGTCCTGGTTGAGGCTGAGGTGGCAGTTCTATGTAAATAGCTGATGGTGGCCACTGCTTGAGAGGGAGGAAGGAAGTGATAAAAATAGCCTGGCTTATCCCCTGCAGGCTGCCCTGGAGGGCCTATCTCCAGAGGCAGGGGGGCCTGGGGTCCTAGTGCCCTGGGCACAGAAGCCTAGGTCAACTTGAGTGTGCAGAAGGGGTCCCATAGTGCATCCCACTGTACCACCAGTGCCCCAAAGAGCCTTAGTGCAGGGTCTGGGGGAGGACCAAGGAGACCCTACTTCTGGACCCAGGTGGTGAGGAGGGCTTCTAGGAGGAGGAGACCCTGGAAATGAGTGGCTCTGTTGGTTGGTCCATTAAATCTCAGTTTTCCTTATCTGGACAATGGGAGCAATAAACCTTGTCCTATTTGCCTCAGAGATGTGGTTTGGGCAGCAACCATGGGCAGGTCAAGAATTCTATTCGGGAGGATGATTTAGTTAGTTTTAATAAACTGAGTTTATTAAGCAGGTGATTTAGTTTCTATAAACAGAGCTCTTGTCAGAGAGGCCCGGGAGTGGAACCCAGAGTGGGGGCCTGCTAAGCAGAAGAAGGGGTCCTTCTGGCTATCTCCCATGGTGATGGCCAGTGTCAGCCAAAAATGCCAAACTCAAGAAGAGGGTCCTGGGCTTCCAGCCTAAAGGCACTTAGAATGGTTTAGGGCTGGAGGGGGAAACTGAGGTGCAGAGCATCTGTGCTGCCAACTGAGGCCACACTGGAGCTTGAGCAGGGCCAGATGCTACCCCACCCAGAATGGGGGAAACCTGAAAGTTCTACAACGGATGTTTGTTTTTAAAGCAGGGTGACAATACTAGAAGTTACAGGGCAAGGAAAGTCAAGGGCAAAGGGCTGTGGAGTGCTTAAACACTCCATTTATACACTAAACCCACAGGAATATTCCTTATGTTTGCAACCCAGTGTGGTTTTTTAATCTTCTTTTTTAAAAATATATTTTATTGATTTTTTACAGAGAGGAGGGGAGAGGGATAGAGAGTTAGAAACATCGATGAGAGAGAAACATCGATCAGCTGCCTCCTGCACACTCCCCACTGGGGATGTGCCCGCAACCAAGGTACATGCCCTTGACCGGAATCGAACCTGGGACCCTTCAGTCCGCAGGCCGACGCTCTATCCACTGAGCCAAACCAGCCAGGGCGGTTTTTTAATCTTCTAAAGCATTCTGCAACTCCTAGCCCTCTTCAATGAATGGAGTTGATATCATTCATTTGTGTGTTTATCATATGCTTCTCTCCACCAGGATGTCTGCTCCCTGAGAGATGGAGCCTTATCCACCCTCTTTGTGGTCAAAGCCATGGTTGACTAGTCCAGTGTCTGCACATTCAGGTCCTGAATTAGTTTGTGCTGGGTGATTGCACGAGTGAATGAATGGTTTACTTATACAATATTTGATCAGCAGGGAGGAATCCGGTCCTTTTTGAATTCTGACCCTCTTTTTGTGCAGGTGTTCGGAGGGGAGGCCTGGCTAGCTAAGCTTCTCTGGACACCTATCACAGTGGCAGCTGTCAGCAATCTTCTGCTCCAGAACACCTGGGAATTTAAAAAATGTGTATTGAATTTATTGGAGTGACACCCATCAATAAAATCACAGAGGTTTCAAGTGCACAACTCCACAACACATCATCTGCGTGCCGCAAGTCCAGTCTCCACACGCCCACTATTTATCCCTGCCTACCTTCTTCTGTGTGCCATCCTCTCCTTTCCCTCCGTAATCACCACACAGTTGTCTGTGTCTGTGAGCGTGTGTTTTTCTTAACTCTGTCACCTTTTTTTTACCCAGCACCTCGAAATCCCTCCCCTCTGATAGCAGTCAGTCTGTTCTCTGGTTTTGTTTTTGTTTGTTTGTTTGTTTTTTTAATGGTTTATTTTTTTTTTTTAGTGCTTCAAGTATTTCAAAGAGTATTACATATGTCATTCCCCGGCCTCCCCTACCCTGTGGTTTTGGGTTTTTTTTATGTTCATTAGATTCCACATGTAAATGGAATCATACGGTACTTGTCTTTGTCTGACTGGCTTATTTTGCTTAGCATAATACTCTCCAGGTCCATCCAAGCTGTTGCAAAAAATAAGATTTTATTCTTGTGCATGGCTGAGTAGTATTTCATTGTGTATATGTACCACTGTTTTTTGTCCACTCATTTATTAATGGGCACTTGAGTTATTTCCATATATTGGGTCTCGTAAATAATGCTGCAGTGAACAGAGAAGTGCATATATTCTCTGGAATCAGTGTTTTGGGTTTCTTTGGATATATTCCCAGAAGAGGGATCTTTGGATAATAAAGCAGTTCCACTTTAAATATTTTTTGCCTCTTTTTGAATGCCTTTTTTTAGTAAATTGTTTTAATTTTTTTAAATTTATTTTTATTGTTGGGAGTATGACAGATGTCCCCCATTTTCCCACTTTGCCTCCAACCACCCGGCTCCTGTCCCACCCCAGGCCTTCACCTCACTATTGCCTGTGTCAATGTGCTATGCATATCTATAAATATAAAAGGCTAATATGCTAAGTGTCTGACCATCCAACTGGTCGCTATGATGCACACTGACCACCAGGGGGCAGACGCTCAACGCAGGAGCTGCCATGATGCGCACCAGCCATTTACAGAGAAATGGTACCGTGGACCTGGTGCCCACAAAGCAACACTCAGCTTCCCCCAAATGGGACACAGGCCCTGCCACCACCCCAGAGTGACACCCCACCAAATCACGGCCGATGCTGCCAAGACCCCATGGTGCAAAATGTGGCCCACGGCCCAGCCCGGAAACAGTTGCTGAGGGCGCTGGGTAATGATGTCACATAGCAACGCCTGGCTTCCTCTCCCTAGTGACTTAGCCTCCTTGCAGTTTCTTCAGTCCAGGAACACAACTTGCTTTATAGCCAGGTGGAAACATTTCACACTTTAACCAAATGTCTGTGAAGCATTTTCCCGTGCCTCATCTCATTTGATCCTCACAGAAGTCCTGGAGTAGGTGGATAGGAAACTTGGTGGAATACTGTTTTCTTTTCATTAGCCAGAAAACAGAGATTTAGAAAGCTTAGAAACTTGACCCGACTGAAAAGAAGAAATGGTGGACCTTGAAAATAACTTCAGGTTTTCTCACTACGCAGAATATAGTCAAACACTGCTGCAGGTAAATACTTTACCCTTTGTTCTCCCTGCATGATCTACAATAATAATCTGCTTCGTGTTGATATTTACTGCTGTGTTGCTGACAATTACCCCAGTGGGGTGCTTCACTGGGCTGGGCAAAGTTTAGCTAAATCAGAAAGCAGGTCTAATTAAGCAAGTTTATCTATATATATAAAGCTCTCGCTGGTGCCAATCGCACATGTGTGTTTCCATCTGTCATTGTTGATCGTGAATTTGGTTGACACTTCTATTATAGAGAAAGGGTGAAAAGCAATATTAAAATATTTCTTCTAATTAATTTCCTTTCAATGTGCATGAATCCATGCACCCGGCCACTAGTATGCATAGAAGTTCTATGGTTAATTTCTTCCTGCCCTCCTACCTCCCTTCCCTCTGAGATCTGTCAGTCGGTTCCATGCATCCTTATCTAAGAAACTATTTTGTTTATCAGTTTATTTTGCCCATTAGATTCCTTACATAAGTGAGATCATGTGATATTTGCCTTTCTTTTTATATCTTTCTCTGACTGGCTTATTTCACTTAGGATAATCATCTCCAGGTCCTTCCACGCTGTCTCGAAGGCTAGTACATCCTTCTTTTTTACAGTTCCATAGTATTCCATGGTGTAGATGTACCACAGCTTTTTTATCTACTCATATTCTGATGGGCACATGGGCTGTTTCTAGACCTTAGCTCTTATAAATAATGCAGCTATGAACATAGGGGTACATATATTCTTTTTGATTGGTGTTTCAGGATTCTTTGTGTGTGTGTGTGTGTGTGTGTGTTTCAATGTCATATTTTTATTTTTTTATTTTATTGATTTTTTACAGAGAGGAAGGGAGAGGGATAGAGAGTTAGAAACATTGATGAGAGAGAAACATCAATCAGCTGCCTCCTGCACACTCCCTACTGGGGATGTGCCCGAAACCAAGGTACATGCCCTTGACCAGAATTGAACCTGGGACCCTTGAGTCCACAGGCTGACACTCTATCCACTGAGCCAAACCAGTTAGGGTCAATGTGTTTCAGGATTCTTAATGGCAGTTCCATTTTTAATTTTTTGAAAAAACTCCATGTTGTTTTCCACAGTGATTGCATCAGTCTGCATTCCCACCAACAGTGCAGTAGGGTTCCCTTTTTCCCACATCCTGGCCAGCATTTGTTATTTGCTGATTTATTGATTATGGCCATTCTGGCAGGGGTGAGGTGACACCTCATTATAGTTTGCTGTACCGATTATATGTTGTGCCACAAACTACAACATGCATAACCTATGGAAAATATATTTCACTCTTTCAACAAATACAAAGGTCAACCTGAGTGTGGAAAAGTGGTAATTTTTGTAAAATATTATAACATAATGTTATTTACTGGGCAGCATCTAGGAACATTCATTACATAGTAAGACCTTCATTTGGTGATATTAATCTGTGCTAAATACAGTTTTCAAAAATCCTGCTAGGTTCAAATTAATTCTAAGAGAATTCAGATGGTTCACTACAGGTTTTACACAATGTGCAGCTAATTACAACACTACAAGTAGACTCTTCTACAAGGAGTTTGCTAGTAGCATTTACAAACATATTGATTTTATAGTATGTTAAAAACTAATGCACGCATTACCGGTTTAGGATGAGTTTTCATCCTATATAATAAAAGCTTAATATGCTAAGTGTCCAGTCAACCGGTCGGCTGTTCAACCAATCAAAGCATAACATGCTAATGATATGCTAAGGCCGATCAACCACTCGCTATGATGTGCATTGCCCACCAGGGGGCAGAGCTCTGACTGGCAGGTTAGCTTGCTGCTGGGGTCTGGCTGATCGGGACTGAGCAAGATGGGCTGGATACGC